CTTTTATTGTTTAGACATTCGAAATAATAGTTCACTTGAATGTTTCTATAAAACAAAGGTCCAGTCGGGACATTTTTCAGGAATGAAAATTCTGATGTGCTTGCTGATCTAGCTAAGTCTGGCGACATGTTTGTGGCTGCCAGAGGAGGAGCTGGTGGAAAAGGGAATTATTTTTTTCTTAGTAATGATAACCGTGCACCAACCACTTATGAAGAGGGTGGCTTTGGGGAAGAAAAGGTTTATTATGCAGAAATGAGAATCATTGCCCACATTGGCTTGGTTGGGTTTTTAATTTTTTGTCTTCCATATCTAACAATTAGCCTCAAAATAAGTTGGGAAACATTTTATTTTATAGGTTGGATTTCCTAATGCTGGAAAATCGACCTTACTGAGATGTCTAACCAGGGCAAGACCGAAAATTGGTTGCTATCCATTTACAACACTCTACCCTCATTTAGGAATCGTTAATTATGATGATCATGAGCAAGTTTCAAGTATATTTTATTTGATTCACTGGCATGCCTAGTTTGGAATAATAGTTAATTTATAAAATAACCAATACAGTTGCAGACATACCAGGTCTAGTTGAAGGTGCTCATTTAAACAGAGGTCTGGGATTTTCATTTTTACGACATGTCGAGCAATGCAAAAGCCTTATATATGCACACTCAACTCGCAACACAACCAACAACACGTACATGACGTACGTCAGATACAAGTGTGATGACGGAGGATACCGCATGCTGGATGGCTCCACCTCCAAGGTCACTCTCTGTGACGCTGGCGGTCAGTGGAGTGACTACATCACCGACTGCAGCTGTTAGTAACTTTTTTATTCTAAATATGACTTTATTTGGTAATGTGTATTTCATTGAAGGAAAATTTCAAAATTAAATTTTTTTTTAAAACAGTGAATCGTTGCTTTCCTCTTCCATACGTTGCAAACGCAACACCATCAACCACCGATACAAACTTCTGGACAAAAAGTATCCTTACATGTATTCCTGGGCACAAGTTCAAAAAAGTATCTATCCTTCAATTGTAGTTGATAGCAATTTAACATTATGCTCGTCTACCTTTAGATTTCAGCATTCATTTCACCGTTTAAACTGTGAAACAAATTTTATTAAGGATATTGGTGAATTTTCGT